CATACCTACCTGCTCCTTCCAGCAATCTTACCTCTTTAGCGGACCAACAGTTTAAAACAATGGCTACTTGCGCACTTCTTCATATTTCAGTGCTAATGCTCCCTCTGGCAGCTTTGTCTACATCTGAACTTTGGACAGTTGAGCAAGGGAGATTCATGATCTTATAGCAGATGTTCTCACCTCAAACTTATTCAAGACAAGGCAATACTCACAGCTTACTCTCAAATCCTGCCCACGGCAATGTCAGTGTTTCACTTGAGTCAGGAATGAATTTTCCTGTTTTGCTCTAATGTGACTTATGCTATGTATGTTATTGTCAGACTCCCTCTACATGCTGCTGTCTTTGAAAAACTGGATCTTCAATCTTTGTACTGCTAAGGGAGAGATGGATGGCTTTTTGTAAGCGCCTTCTGAAGTCTATGACTGTGTGACTATGCAGATGGTCACTTAAAGAAATCATTCATTTTTTTTAGACATACGTATTCAAGTCCACAATTTGTTCTTCTTCCTTGAAGTTCCTGAAGGATTTCTCAGGCTTTCCCAGCCATCAAGGAACTGAGTAAAGGAGGAACATGTGTTGTGCTTGTTAGGGCCATATAGCATGCAAAAAAGATAAGGTTTGATTTCATCCATAAAAGGTCCCATTGAAGTAAAAAAATCTTGGCTTTTCTGTGCTTGTGTACATGAATCTTATGTGAGAATGTACGTGCAGGAAAAAATATGAGGTAACAGTCAAATAACCTCTATAGCCTTTGGCGGACTCTTTCAAAGAACTCTGATATGAGATCTGGAACACTAAATCTTTGGGTAACTTTTCCCATTTAAGCCTAATATTATGAAGTTGACAACTTCCAAAGTGAAGGGAAATAAAGTACTTTGTCATGTTAAGTATGAAGAATGTTCCAGACATAATCCTATAACCTTCTTTTCCATCCCAAAGATGGTAACTTCCTCCTCATTTGCACCAGGGACAGAGTTTGGAACTTCTTCATAGAAGTTGCAAAAGTTACTGAAAAAATGGATAAGTACTACTGTAGATTGTTCCTGGTTTGTTTACAGATTTCAGAAGGCCCTGATATATCCATTAGTCGAGTCTAATGTAGGAATTCCTGGAAAGCCTGTGGCTGCTGAAGTGCCAGGATCTAGTAAAGCTATTTTGCTGTAGGAACTATAACACATTTATATCTCACTGTGTGTTTCAGATGTGTCCCACAGCAAGGCTGAAATCTAGTAAAGCTTCCTTATATTCTACTCATATAGCAGGGATAAGCTGGTATTTTGCACTATCCTCATCCTACACATATGCACAGATCTGATAGCAAAACCAATTTTTTTTTCAGTTCCACTTTGCTATCTTCTTTGGACAGTTGTCCAAAAAAAAAAAAAAAAGATCCAAAGAGCAACAACAAAAAAACCCTGGGCTACTAATTTGTATGAAAATAATGTCATGTCAGCCTGAAGATAAAACAGACAATTAAGCATTGCAGGAATTCTTTTATCTTACACGTGTATATGATGTCAGAAGAAAATTGTCATGAAAATGTAAACATGAAAAAAATGTGTATATATATGAAATACTGATTTCTTCTAGAGGAGACATGGTTTCCCACAACATTTTTTTTTTTCCTGGGTGAATATCAACTGAGATGTAAAATAGTCTAGAGCCCATTTGTCTTTGTAGGTGTCAAGTGTTGCTTCTCACTTGCACTTACTGCTGTTTCACCCACCTGAAGCTATAGGAAGGTTAACAAGCAGAATCAGCTTGGGCTTTTGCAGCTTGCTCGCTAGAGCCAGCCTGACCAACAACATCCCAGCCTTGAAGAAATGCATAGGTAATTTAAAAACAAACAAACAAACAACTCTGCAAATTTCTTTTTCCAATTTATTTGCATTATTTTCTGTATCAAGGAATAACAGAAAATAGACCCAAAAGAACAGCCTCTTTTAAAATAAAAAAATACATTTAGAATCAGGAACATCTGATCCGGATTTAAAGAATGAGTAAAAATAAGAGCTACAGTTGACAACATTCTTTTAACCTCCTACAGACTCTTTTCAACAAGATGAGATTGACAACTTTTATTTGCTAAATTTTTAACTCATTAAGAAATGCTAATTGATCTTTTTTCTACATTCAGTTTACTCTTCAATTGGTTCTCACTTTTTTCTGTCCATTTGCTGTAACTTATGTGCGTAGGTGTTATGTGTGTATGTATGGGTGTTATTTTGGATATATATTATGTAAGCTAATGTCCTGGTTATCCTGATATACCTCATCTAGTCTCAAAGCAAATACCAAAAAAACCTGATAAAGCAATTGCCTCCAACTGTATGTGTTGAAGAAATTAAAGACTTTGTCCTAAGGCAGACTTCACAGTCAGCTGAGAATCTGACCAGCATGTAAAAACACAGTTTTACCTAATAAATATGATAGGGCAGAGGTTCAACACTGGTGGGGAAAAAAAAATCAAACAAAAACAAAATGCAAACAGAAAACAACTTCTAAAAGTTTTAATTTTCTTTTCTTCTTTTCTTAAAAAACCTTCCAGGGGGACTGGATAGCTCAAGGGGTTGGTAATAGGATACAGAACCTTTCATCTCTAGGTCACCAGTTCGCATCCAGGCCAGGTCAGTAGTGACCAAAAATTGTTACCATTTGATGGGTTTTCAGTGACCTATATGAAATAAGTTGTCGGAAACATGGTTGGAACAGTTGCTGGAAGCTGTTCTCTTCTTATTCAAGAAGATGTGGCTGATCTTTTGGCAGTCTCAGTAGCGAGACTGCTTTACCTGTTCATCTAAAGATGTGAGATGCACTGATGGCATTCTGTGGAATTCTTTCTTTCTACGACTATTATCAATTCATAATTGTTGTCACAATTACTGTAGCTGCTAGTGTTCTGCTGCCTGTTCTGGATCTGTGCTGTGGTCCAGTGGATCTCAGGGTTGTTAAAAAGGTAACGGCTACAGGCACTCAATTCATACAAAGCCATTCTTCATGTGAGCACAGGTAACCTTAATTATCTAAGTTGCAGGACTAAATCCCCATCTTCCTTTCTTGACATCATTGTTTTCAGGTTTTTCACCAAGATTAAACAGAGGAATTCAATCAGTATAACACATCCAGAACATTTTTATGGCTTAAGGAAAAAAAAAATAGGAAATGAAAAGATAAGACAAGCACTGGCTTGCCTAGAATTTCAAAGCAGCAATAGCAAAAACCAGTGTCATAGATCAGGTCAGACTTGGAATAAACTCCAGAATCATTGCAGTCCTAATTTTTATGTTGTTCTCAGTTCCACCAAGCTAAGCAGCAACAGCCTTCTTCTCCCCACAGGACAGAAAAAAACCATTTCCCTCGCTCCTTTGAAAATGGTTTCTTATGTTCAGAATACTACTGGGACCTTTTTAGCCTTTTAGCCTTTTTAAAGGGTAACTTACGCATACATCACCTAGATACTTCACATTTTCTATAATACATATCTCCAGAAGCAAGCATGCTTCCTTTAAAGTTATCACCAAAAATAGAAACTGCCAAGAAAAGCTAAATTTAAAAAAATTCATTAAAAAATCAAGCATACTTCAGTTACAGAAAGGTCCCATTTCTACTGTCTGACAATGGAGGAGGCCCTTAAAGTGAGAAGAAAATATGCTGTGAAAATAACATTTCTACCAAAGATCTCTAAACAGGTCCTAATTCCTGGCCATAACATTTGGGAGGACAAGGGTGCTGAGTGACGAATAACACAACCACAATACTCCACTTCCAAAGGCCTTCAAGAGGCTGTGGAATACAGGTAGTAAGATCGAGCAGCTCTCAGCTTGCTCAGAATTATGTTGGTAGTGGGGAAGATCCCTCTATGTTGCAGAAAACAGGGAACAAAGATGGACTAAGACACCTTAATACACCCCAAGTATCCATGCCTATCCTTTCCTGGTTTACTGCAGGAATTGGATTAATGAGAGTCAGAGCCCTACTGTATATTTTATTTTACCTTCCTACAAGGTCCTAAAAGTTTTACAGAAAAAAACAGTAAAATTTAAAAGAAAATTTAACTTGTAAATGAGATCTGGTGTTGGATACTTAAGGAGAAATGATTGCTCAGCTATTAGTCAAACAAATATCACAAAAGTTTTGATAGCTCTGACAGACACACATGATTAATTACTATATATATCAGAAAAATACACCTTTTATCTACATGAGTAATTATTGGCATCTTGCCTGCAAGGAGCTGAGAAGGCAACTGGCCAAAAGTAATTTAAAATGAAAAATCAACCCCCCTAAATATGTCCTTGATATATGTCCTTCTTTAGATAAATGAAGGGTATTACTGACTTAAACTTAATACAAGAAACAATAAGACTGGAGCTTGAAATAAATTATGTTGATCCAAGTAGACATATTGCAAAACTGTCTTGCTTTTCTATACAAAGAAATTAATCTTTGTTATAATCTTGCATGGAACAATAAGGCAATAAAGATATGTATTTAATTCCTGCATAAACCTTTTAATGTAGAGCTTAGTTTCTAGATTCATGGCATTTCTGTTTTCAGCTTAAATTTCAAAGCTATGTTGATGAAATCTAGAGGTTGCCATTTTTCTTTAAACATTTTTAAGCTATAATTTGATGCATTTTTAGAATTTTATTACGTCTGTGTTTATATTTAACATGTTTGTCTTTTTTATATAGACATCAGTGTCTTTTTTTATATACACATCAGTGTCAGCCTTCATCTTACTACCACCAGGTCTTCTCTTTCATTTTTCTTTTAATTACTTTAATTTTCTCACTTATTTTCCTTTCATTACATGTACTGATGTTAAGTATTTAAAATAACAGTGCGATGCTACAGTAATTAATGTACTGCTTCAACATATATAGTACTAGTTTCTGAACAAGCACATATTAAGCATATTGGTAAAACAGTAAACAAAGCTTTATTGCTGTAAATATTCTTACACTCTTTTCTTTTTCCCCCTGTATTTGTGTACTAGGTGGTTGTGAATGCCCTTTTAGGAGCAATTCCATCCATCATGAACGTGCTTCTCGTTTGTCTTATATTCTGGCTAATTTTCAGCATCATGGGAGTAAATCTGTTTGCTGGGAAGTTCTACTACTGTGTTAACACCACAACTGATGAAAGGTTTGAAGTCGACCAAATCAACAATTTTAGTCAGTGCGAGGAACTCATAAAAAACAATCAAAGTGCCCGATGGAAAAACGTGAAAGTAAACTTTGATAATGTAGGATTTGGGTATCTTTCTTTACTTCAAGTAGTAAGTGATCACTCTTTATATACTTCTTACTGTTTATATGTCATAGTGAAAAGCAAGTCTAGCAACGAAGACAGAAAACCTATTTACCTGATGATTTTTATCTGTGACTTAGTAATACCACTGCACTGATAATTGATTATTTTGTCATAGTAAGCAGCAAGTAGAGCCTACTAAGACGAATACAGAATTTTCGGGACATCTGACAGAACAAGTACTATTCTTCCTATTTATAGCTCACTTAGTCCTCCAGCCATTCTAACTTTAAAATTTTCTAGAAGCACCTAGGAATGGTATTCAGCTATCTGAATACTTTAAGTTTTACTGTTGCTGAAAAACTAAATCTGCATAGGGGTGATTAAGTCACAGAGAATTCCAGGTAGGAAATCCCTTCTCAGTGATGTGGCTGCCACCAGTGCAGACTTATGTGATCTAAGAAGCAATTTCTCATTTGAAGAGAAGTAAGGACAGAAAAATACCATTAGATACTATAATCTATGAAATATATTCTCTGCTATTTCTGTGTATAAGCACCTAGTGGAGTTTATTTAGCAAAAACTGTGGGAAGAATAAAGAAGGAAAAAATACGCAGAAAGATACTATAAAGTTATGCCTTCACTATCAAAAATTGTGTCCTCACAATACTATCTTTGAATTTTGGAGGAGCTAAAGACAGAATGGATGGTAATAGAAAGACTTTAAATATTTTTTTTCTCTGTCTTATTTTTGAAATCCACTGGCCTAGAATCCTCCTCAGGGGGGCAGAATGCTTTATTACACATATTCAGGAAAAACAAGACATCAACAAAACTCTTCCCAAATGGTTTGTAACTCTTCTTCCAGTAGTAATCTAGTCTATTCTAGGACAGATATAACATCAGGTACATTTTTTCCTGGCTTTGTGGCCACAATCACCACCTATCAGCTACATGCAGTCATATATATTTCAGTGTCCCAGCTGTGCATAGCTTATTCCATCTTCTCTTCGTTGAAAAGCAACAAATATTTCTTACATAAAGACTTAGATTCTTAAATTATTGGATTGTTCTGGGAGGCAAATCGGGCCAAATTTGCCAATTGTTCCCATTCTTCCAAAGGAAAAATTAATCTAGACATACCACAGAGGGACGAGGAGGAAGTTGGCAAAAACACCAGGAGGCCTGTGTGGGTGAACAAGAAACTCCTGGACAAATGCAAATAAAACCAGGAAGCCTACAGAGGGTGGGAACAAGGACAGGTAGCCTGGGAAGAATCTAGAGAAATTGTCCAAGCAGCCAGGGATCAAGCTGGGAAAGCCAAAGCCCTGATAGAATTATATCTGGCCAGGGACATCAAGGACAACAAGAAAAACTTCTCTAGGTACGTTGGTGTTAAAAAGAAGACTAGAGGAAATGTGGGCCCTCTCCAGAAGGAAATGGCAGACATGGTTACCTGGGATACGGAGAAGGCTCAGGTACTCAGTGATGCTTTTGCCTCAGTCTTCACTGGCATGAGTTCCAGCCACACTGCCCAAGTCACAGAAGGCAAAGGCAGAGATTGAGAGAATGAAGAACTGTCCACTGTACGAGAAGATCAGGTTTGAGACCATCTAAGGAACCTGAAAGCCCACAAGTCCATGGGACCTGGTGAGATGCATCCGCAGGTCCTGAGGGAACTGGCAGATGAAGTGGCTAAGCCAGTATCCATCATATTTGAGAAGTCGTGGCAGTCTGGTGAAGTTCTCACTGACTGGAAAAGAGAAAATATACCCTCCATTTTTAAAAAGGGAAAAAAGGAAGACCCAGGGAACTACAGGCCAGTCAGTCTCACCTCTGTGCCCAGCAAGATCATGGAGTGAATCCTCCTAGGAAATATGTTAGGGCACACAGAAAATAAGGAGGTGATTGGTGGGAGCCAACATGGCTTCACTAAGGGCAAATCATGTCCGACAAATTTGGTGGCCTTCTATGATGGGATTACAGTGTTGATGGTTAAGGGAAGAACAAGTGATTTAATCTACCCGGACTTCTGCAAAGCATTTGACACTCCTGCACGACATCCTTGTCTCTAAATTAGAGAGACATAAATTTGACAGGTGGACCACTTGTGGATTAGGAATTGGCTGGATGGTTGCAGCCAGAGAGTCATAGTCAATGGCTTGATGTCCAAGTGGAAATCAGTGATGAGTAGCATTCCTCAAGGGTCAGTATTTGGACCAGTGTTTTTTAACATCTTTGTCGGCAACATGGACAGTGGGACTGAGTGCACCCTCAGCAAGTTTGCCAACAACACCAAGCTGTGCGGTCTACACGCTGGAGGGAAGGGAGGCCATGCAGAGGGACCTGGACAGGCTGGAGAGGTGGGCCCCTGCAAACTTCATGAAGTTCAACAAGGCCAAGTGCAAGGTCCTCCACCTGGGTCAGGGCAATCCTAAGCACAGATACAGGCTGGGCGATGAGTGGATCAAAAGCAGCCCTGCAGAGAAGGACTTGGGGGTGCTGGTGGATGAAAAGCTGAATATGAGCTGGCAATGTGCGCTTGCAGCCCAGAAAGCAAATTGCATCCTGGGCCGCATCAAAAGAAGCGTGGCCAGCAAGTCAAAGGAGGTGATTCTCCCCTTCTGTTCTGCTCTGCTGAGACCCCACCTGAAGTACTGTGTCCAGCTCCAGGGCCACCAGCATAAGAAATACATGGACCTGCTCGAGCAGGTCCAGAGGAGGGCCACCACAAAGATCATCAGGGGGCTGGAGCACCTCCTCTACGAGGACAGGCTGAGAGAGTTGGGGTTGTTCAGCCTGGAGAAGAGAAGGCTCTGGGGAGACCTTCTAGTGGCCTTCCAGTACTTAAAGGCCTACAGGAAAGGTGGGGAGGGACTCTTGATTGGGGAGGGTAGTGATAGGAAAAGAGGTAACAGTTTCAAACTGAAAGAGGGGAGATTTAGATTAGATAGTAGGAAGAAATACTTTACTGTGAGGGTGGTGAAACACTGGAACAGGTTGCCTGGAGAAGCTGTGGCTGCCCCCTCCCAAAAGAACCCCAAACCCTGGCACTGAGGGCCTTATTATTCTGGGAAAGACATAAATAAGTCCTGTGAACAGTTTTTGTTTCGAATCATTAAAAGCTTTTTCTGGTAGCATATGGGTCTGTTCATACAAAACCCACCTCTTTTTCAAGAGTAATATAGAAAGGAAACATAGATATTTCACATATAAATACTCAAAAGAAGTGGGATAATTTCAGAAAGAAATACTCTAGGCTCAAAAAATAGATTGGAAATGTGTGGCCGTGGCTTTTTAAGCAAAAAGAACTCTCTGACAAGCTCTTCCTTGAGTTTCCTTGGTGGAGATGGCAAATGAGTTTCTGGAATGAGGGAGCTAAGAAAAGAACATAAACTAATTTTTGGGTTCCATATTGTATTTTTTTTCTCTTGAGGGAGGGGTGTGTATGTAAAATCTTCAGTATTGATAGCAATGTTATAATTCTTTCTGACCCAAAATACAGGCTAACAATATGTGACATTGATATAACCAAGTTTTATAAACTTTGTTGATCAGAGACTATTTTCCAAAATTCTTACATAATTTGAAGTATAAATATTCATGCTGTGGGTCATATAGGTACACATTCTCTTTATAAGATTTTTTTTTCTTCTATGATACAGCATAGCTCTTGTTGGTCTATGTGGATCTGCAAACCTTTTTTCATTTCTTGGTCTGAATTCGTTTGAGTATTTCTCTGTCCCTAAAGAAAAGCATCAAAGCAGAGACAGATCTGCTGGAGAAATTCCTTTCACAATTTTCATGCATCAATGAGTGAAGAGGAAGAGGCTGATGTACACAAAGAGATGTGGCATCATCCCTGATAATTTTACGGCCTTGTGCCTTTTTAACTTGAACCTAGTGTTTGGATTCTTTGGTAAGTAAATCTCCTGGAGGCCTGCTTTTATCCTGCTGCTAAGCGTATATCCTGCTTACCAGGACAAAATGTGGCAAACCAGTGGATCTCAAAGCCCAATGTTAAATTATGCTGCTGTTACTAATATAAAGAAAACACGTCTTGTGAAGTGTAGGGTAAAAAAAATCAGAAGCTGAATTCTAGGGCTATAAGATTACGATGGCTTCAGAGTTCCAGCAGGTTAGTATTTTAAAAGCAAGATGCTATTTTATCTCCAAAAGGGAATGTGAATCTTCCTGGTGGTTAATTCTGGTGAAGAAATGGAGTGGTGAAACTCCAGGATTACTTATAACTTCTTTAGAAATTACTTACCAGGGAAAAAAGTCTATGTACTTTCAATAATAGTAAAGTAGATTGGGGGATATTTGTTTCATTGATTTTTCTAACTACATTTGAATCTACATTTGACTATATGTCTTTCAAATATCCTCGGGGGAAAAAAAATTTGGAACAGATGCTGATTTCGGTTACACTGCTGTAATCTTTGAAATCAATGAATTACTCCTGATTGAGTGTCACTGAGAATATGCAATCTATTTTTATATTTGAATATATAAAAAGTAAACTAAGAACTTGATCTCTTAGTCATCTCTCTCTTATTTTCTATTCAATATGCACAAATGCCCAAATAATACCTTATTTCTGTCAAAGAAAATGCGTTGCAGATAAATTTAAGTCTAACATAAGCAGGGCTAAGCTTCTACTGAATGCAAGAGAAGTAACACTCTT